CCCCCCGCTGCAACTCCGGAGCTGCAGGGCGGTGGGTGCGGCCGCCAACCGACCGCAGACGCCTCGGCGTCGCGGAGCGCTACGGTTGGGGGGTGGGGGATCGGGGGCGGTTTCCGTTACGCCACCCCCGCCCTCGCTGCTCTCCCACCCCTGAGGCGTTCGTTTGGCTTTCAACCCGCAGGCGGGAACGGAGCAGGCGGGGCAGGGGGGCGGGCGGCGGCCGAGCGACCGACTGAGGAAGGCGGGGGTGCCGGGCCGCGGGCACGGCGCGGCAGGCACTTGGCAGCTGGGCTTAGCGTCCCAAACACGCCCCACCGTTCGCCCGCCGCCGGCGGCAGTCCCGTCCGGCGCCCCGGCAGGGAGGCGGCGGCGGCGACGCCGCTGGGTCCTAAGGTCTCCCGCCATCCTTCCCTGGAGCGGCCATTCTGCTGCCGCTGGTGGAAAGCGGGCCGGAGGTAAGGGGCGGCCGGTCTCCTCGCGAACCCCGGGGCGGGGGGGGGCGGCCGGTGTCACGGTGAACCTGGTGGCGGGAGGGCTGGGGGAGGGCGGCGGGGCGCGGCCGGGCTCGTTGCGGGCGAAGTGGCGGTGTTGGGGGGTTTGGGGTGGGAGGAGCGCCGCCGGCGTCATGGAACACCACGTGGCGGGTGGGATGGGGGGGCTTTGGCAGGAGGGGGCGTCTGTATACGCATACATGCGCGCGCAGCCGCAGGCAAACGGGTTCGGGCCGGGGAGCTTTTGGGGGTGGGGGGCCGTGCACACGTGCGTGGGAAGAAAATAAGCTTCCGTACTGTTTCTAAATCGATTCCCTAGTGTTTGTAAGGTTTCCGCTTGAGCTTTTCGTTCTTGATTCTCATCACGTATTAAGGTTCGCTTATCGATCCCGTCTCAGCCGAATTCTTCTCTGCGGGTTCCGATCCTTGCTACAGTGCACTAGCCGGCACCTCCACTGGCCCCATCACCTCCCCGGTTAAAGGTGAGATCACAAGGGGCCGCATAAGCCAGGCCTTGCTGCTGGCCCACCAGCTCAAAAGCTGCAGAAGACCTCACACGAAAGCACACGAGCCAGGGCCCGGCCCAGGCCTATCACGTCCTAATCCAGACGTGACTTCACCGCAAGAAGCTCAGGCCACGGCCCGCTCCGGGCCTTTGAGCTAGACAGGCGCTGATGTCATCGCGAGCAGCCGCGCCAGCCGGGGCCCGCTGGGGCACGGGGTGACGTCACAGGCCCCTCGGGAGCCGGGGCCTGGCAGCGCCCTTTTACGCCGCCTCGGCTACGAGTGACGTCACAAGCGGCAGGCGGTGTGGAGGGCGGGGGCTGCCGGGAGTGGGGGCGGGGGTGGGAGGGGGTGAATGCCGGCCAGCGACCCGGCAGTGCCAGGACCCCACCCGGACGCAGACCCCGGTCGATGCCAGCGAACGCACGGCGGCCAGCCGGGTCGGGGCAGGGCAGCGGTGTGAGCGCGGCAGGGGGAGGCGGTGGTTGTAAAAAAAAAAAAATCAATTTTTCCTTTTCATCTCTCTTTTCCCGTTTCTGTGGTGGCTTCGATCGCAACCCAGAAAAGACAAGACGACAACTGCACGAGGCGGTAGGTTGCAGCTTAATGCCTTGCATTACAGGCGCTACAATCTCGGACAAGCGGAGGGAAAAACCCCCGAAATGACACGCTCCTCTCACCCCCACCGCCGCCAGCCCGCAGCCCTGCACCCCGCCTCGCCGAGAGAAGCACGTACGCAGAGATGTGGGGAGGCCCCACCACCCCGCCGGTAGGACACGAGCGCCAGGCCGGCCGCGGGCCGGCATGTCTACCCGTCCGGTCGGCAGCGGGGACACCAGGTCTACCCGGCCGGCGGCGCGGATACCACGTCTACCCCGGTCGGCGGGCCGGCGGCGCGGACACCAGGTCTACCCGGCCGGCCGGCGGCGGGGACACCACGTCTACCC